AACATCATAATTTTCACCGGAAAATGTCATCTGAACAAGTAAGAAACATCCACTTTAGTTCTGGTTCTGACATTGCAGTAAATCGCGCTGATTAAATCTAACAATCGCTTATCATATCACGCAAAACCGTGCAAATTATACTTTGTTCTCAAATTGATAATGTTAACAACGTCAGCATTGCGTGACTACATGTAATGTCCTTCCGATATGTATCCTTGTTTTCTCATGGGTCCGGTTGCAGTCTCTTTTTTTTCTGTAGCCACTCCGAAGTCCGACCGAAGTCTTTTGCATTTTACAGCGGGTGAATCTGTTGTCACTGGTGATTTGTCGTTTGAACCTTTCTGGATCCGCCATCAAATTGATAAGTTTAATTATATCAAGTGCTGTGAGAAAAGGCTATAAATCTCCACCTCCAGCATCCTCACACGCAATATAGCCTACTAGCCGAGACTCTTCTTTATGTGTACAGATGTGTGTGTGTACAGATGTGTGTGTGCAGATGTGACGTAATGACGCAAAGACATGGTCGAATCTCCCGCGGAAATCCACCAGTACCACTGGAATTAAAAACATTATTACAAGCTTACCGTTTAGAATCGAGCTAAGGCAAGCAGATCGTTTTGAACACTGGCTGGTTATGTATTTTCTGAAATATGTATTTTGGATCATTTTTAACCCCAAAAAATACGGACTGCAGCTTTAACATAAAATGTGGACAGTCTGATTCAGCCATGGCAAACTAAGTTTTGTGGTCACTACCAAAAATCTGCAGTCACTACCGTAACATGAGATGTTTTGTCAAAAATAAATTATATTGAATTATCAAATAAGATGTTAGGATAGTGTTTGGTTCAATGCATATTCAAACTAATGAATCCTTAACTTTGAAATCAGTACGATAAACTTTATGCCTTCTACAAAGAAAAATTGGGTTCAAAATACAACAAATCTCATAAATTACACTTAAAATATTATTAAAATTATAATCTTTATTGATTTAACCTGTAAAAATATTTTTAAAACATAGAAAGATTTATATTTATAAGGTAGATGTAAACAAAATCTTAATAGGTCGTTATAAGGCTTCTTAAAAAAATATTTAATATTGTGTTTCGGTAGTGACAAATTTGGGGAGAAGGAAAATATTCCAGCATTTTCAATATGAGAATTAAATGCACAATTACTAGAAAAGCGTACCTTGGATATTATACAATTTGCATACATGCAAAATTTGTGGGGGAAAAAACAAAACAAAATCAAGATGTTTCCAACTCTGACTGCACCAATTCTGTAGAATGGCCCATATAAAACTTTGCAGGATGTTTTTGTTCACTTAGATCTGTTACACACTACATGCAAGGTAATTTTCAAAATTCCATAATAGGAGCCCTTTAAAATAGCCCAATTGACTACAGTGGCTCAACCTTAAGTTTATCAAGCGACAAGAATACTTTTTGTGCGCAAAAAAATATAACGACATTATTCAACTGCTCATCTTCTTTTGATGTTCTGGCTACGTCAGGGTTAGGGTTAGGCCTCACTATTGGCCGACGCTGGTCATGAGTGTGATGCTGGCCAATAGTGAGCCTGCGTTCTGATGTAGTGCTGCGCTGTTACACTACGTGAACTCACTCTGAGGCCCACACAGAAGATGAAATCCTAAAAGATTAATTTGATCCTGGGCTCAAATCTGAAGTCTTTGAACGTCAGTTTGACATAAATGACCGATAAATGACCGTTGCTATAAAATTTGACCTCCGGCGAAAGTTTTTCAAGACAAGCCGTGACCAAAATTAACGTTAGAGATTTCGGTAACACTTTATTTTAAGGTGCTTGTAATAAGCAGTAATTAACAGTTAATAAGACACTTATAAGACCTTATAAGATGCATATAAGATGCATATAAGCATTAACTACTTCATATAAGGGTTAATTAAAGGTCCAGGCCCTGAAGAGATCAGGGAAACTACTCCCTCTTGGGAAGGTCAATTTTTAAGGGCCTGGGAGTTTGTGTTACCATTTATGTTTGTTCGGCTGTTCTAAAAGTGCAATGTATTGATACTTGAGAAATTTATTATTTAATTTAATTTATTTATTATCATTAGTTAATGCTTATATGCATCTTATATGCATCTTATAAGGTCTTATAAGTGTCTTATTAACTGTTAATTACTGCTTATTACAAGCACCTTAAAATAAAGTGTTACCGAGATTTCTTTTGTAGCCACCATTTCAATCCCACGTGTAATGCAGCTCACCGTGAACGTACGTATCATTAATAGATGATGTAAAACTCCGGACAAGTTTTCTTGCGTGCGTCCGTTTTTAACGCGTCTCGACTGTCGTACAGTCTGACATCAATGACAACTGAGATCTTAAAACGTGTCACATGGCTTACTTATAGCGATGATCATGTTCGTACAGTCTGACAAGCAACAGTCGTAAAGGACTATTATAAATCGCACTGTGTGCAACTGGCTCAAGTCTGATCGGCAGAGAAAATCATTCGGAAAGTGATTCCAACAATATTGTTTCTTGGTGCTGTAATTATACCTTAGCCTAGTTGTGGTGTGTACTCTGCAATTCTTTTAAATGCAGAGCTTTTAGTTATCGTCTTTAGTCTAGTGTGAATTACTTTTTATAATAAGAAGTCAAAATGTCTTAAATGTGAGCTAAAGTTATATTCAACCCAGAATATTCCTTTATTGGTAAAGCGTGCACGTGTTCTTGGTGGTGGTATTACATGGAGACTTTCTCATTTTCAGGTTTAGCCACGCTCAAGGCAATCCTTGAAAGCGGGTTACTCTGTGTAGAGGAAAACTCACAGTTTTGACCAGAATAGCTCAAGTGTGGCACTATAGTATGATGCTGAAAGAGAGAATTGTTGAGAAATAAAGCAATATGGGCCACTGCAGCTAGGCCAGATTACTACGGCATAGAGTCTATCTCTTGGTGGTGTATTGATCCATTGTGGCCCAGCTATTTTCCAAACAGCGAGTCGCTGACTGAGAGACAATAGTTTCTTGCTCTGAGAAAACAGACAGTGCTGAGCTGTAATTAAACCCACAATATGGCCATATATAACCAACCCTGGAAATTGGGACCATTTATTGTACTTATGACCAACCATTAAACAGGTAAAAAAAAAAAAAGCCTTTTAATGGGCACTAATGAGATTCAATGAGCTGAAATATGTAATTGGCGTATTAATAATGACTTGATGAGTTGAGAGCTGACATCCTATAATTTACATTTGAACAAGATTTCATAGCCTAATAAATATATGCATTAAGTAGATTTTTAAGACAACCTAACCAAAAAAAAAATAATTCACAGCTTTCAACTCAACATCCTGTTACAAGGATTCATTTTCATAATGCTTCTCCATTGAAAAATGTGAGTTCTTTGTTCTCTTTCATTTCACACAGAAAAAAAGGAGCTCCTGCTTTCCACTACTTTCTGCTTTATGACTCTCCTTCAACTTTTAAAAGGAACCGAACATGAAAAGCTTTCAGTCTTTTCTCTGTAGGCTTTATTCAAAACGTCACCTTTAGCCAGTTATATAAAAAACAAAAAAAAACACAGCAAACTGCTAGAGAACATAAATGTGAAAAAGGCAAAATGGCACTGTAGAAATTCTCATAATGCAATGCAGGAGTGAGTGCCAGTGAATATTTTGATGTGGGCTCTCCTAAATAATTTGTGATGTCTGACCTACCAACAGTTAATGCTGCATTAGACAAACAGGGGAAAAAAAATTAGTTCGAATTGTCCAATTTGTCATTCTCTCATTCGCACTTACTGTGTAGCAGGGGGTGAATTCGGTCGACCCCTTTTAGAGCATGTTCTTAACACGGTTCAAGTGGAGCGGAGATGCTAATGGACAGATACAGGACACAGCCAAAGGCAAATGGAGTGATTTGGTTGCAGTACATGGAAATGTGTTTGCTGTCCATTAAATACATTTTGCTTAAAAAAAAAAAGAAGCCTATTTTAGGACCAATAAGATATTTGGCATTTTCTACCTACTTGTTAGTTAATTGTCAGCAGCTTAATGATATGTAGAAAAAAAAGCCTATTCTCATTACTGTAATTTGGAAATAACTGTTACATTACTTAAATGAGAGACAATTTTAATTACACATCATGTTAGATTATTTTTCCCCCCACTGTTTTACTTAAATGACAATGAGATGTTTATTTTCTTAATGGAAATGGGAAAAAAAAGAAAAGAAAAATTCATTATCCTAAAATAAGCTTCATTTTCTTTCTATGATCCAAACATTATATGAATAAGTGGTTTTCAGATATGTTCACAGTTGGTTTTCACAACTCTTCTCAGAGCTACCCTGAACATTAGCGTCTTTTCCCACTTCATATAACCATTGAAGAATAAGAATGGAAATGATAAAGTGCAACTGAAACAATAGATCAAGCAATTGCATATACAGATTTAGAATATCTGTAAAAAGCTAACAAACAATCTCATCCCCCTGAGAACAAAATGAAGGAATCTGGGAGGAGTGCATGCCCTCATTACAAGTTACAATGTCATGTGTGCCATAACAAATGTTAGAAAAGAATTGAACCCTGCCCTGGGCTGAAGTATGGTAGCTTGTTTCCGCCACTGAATAAAAAGGAAAAAAGGTAAATGCGAATTATTTTATTTAACAATTCTAACTTTTTTTATCGCAATTGCACGTTTACATCTCGCAATTCTGTTTTTTTTTCCCCCTCAGAACTGCATGATATAAACTCGCAATTGTGAGTTATAAAGTCAGAATTGCAAGCTATAGACTCAATATAAGTCAGTCTTTTTACCTCAGAATTGGACTCGTAATTGCAAGTTTATATCTTACAACTTTTAGTAGTCATAAACTCGTAATTTTAGAGAAAAAAAGAAGTCAGAATTGTGAGATAAAAAGTCACAATTATCTTTTAATTATTTTATTCCGTGGTGGAAACAAGCTTCCATACAGAAGCTTCCAAAAACAGAAACAAACCAAAAAACAAGAAGTATGCTTCTCCCTGCAAGCTGTGTGTGTGTTTAGTTCAAAAGAAAGTCCTTGTGTGAAATTCAAATGGATTTCACTACAGAGCTAAAAAAAATAACAAAGAACAAGTCAGTGCATGTCACTTTCAAAATATGATACACAGCAAAACCAAAAGAAAACAAACTTGCATCAAGAAATAAATAAAAACCTATTCCTGACCAAATCAATCATGAAGAAAGTTATGGTGGACTCTCTTATGACAGAGCAGACGCAGACGCAGCAGGTTCTTTGACCTCTGTGGGATCAGAAGATGTGTTTGAGATGTTTGATGCCATAGGTCTTGAAGAACACCAGCAGGATTAGAGTCCAGAGCCCCAGAATGAAGCCATCGGGAGGGTGCCAGTCTTTCTGCTTGGGTTTCTGTGAAGACATGTAGGGAGAACTCTGATGAGTGTTTCATAGCATGAACAACTGCATTTCATTTCCTCTTCTGAAATAAAAGAAATGGATTCACTATGTAAGCACTGAGTGTGTCAGTCGTTGCCTTTTACAGACGATATGAGATTTAAATAGCGACTGCATTATGGAGGATGATCAGATATTTATTTGATTTGATTAAAAGCTTGTGTTTACGTCGATCAAATAGCACATTTAGCCAGCTACAGAGAAACTGGTAGCCAGGCAACAGACAAGTGACCAATCCTGAGTGCCGACGTCATTACACGCATTCTACCAGTACGGTAGAATTACGGGGCGAGAATCGTGTAATCGTAATCGGTCTTAGGTGGAACTAGTATAACTTGAATTGTATATCCTTACTGTTTTTAGAACCGTTCGGCCCGATGTTGGGAAAGAAGCTAATGTTTACACAAAGGCTGTTACTGAAGGATAGGGTGTTATGTTATTACCAACCACACACATTCAAATGGAAATATTATTACCAACCACACACATTCAACTAATACTGAGAGGGAAAAAACAGCTCACCACATTTTCTTGCAATTGCGAGTTTATGTAGATCTCACAAGTCTGACTTTATAACGGGCAATTTTGACAAATAAGTCAAAATTACGGGATGTAAACTGGCAATTCGGAGAAATAAAGTCAGAATTACGGGATGTAAACTGCCAATTCTGAGAATGGGATGTAAACTGGCAATTCTGAGAAATAAAGTCAGAATTACGAGGTGTAAACTGGCAATTCTGAGAAATAAGTCAGAATTACGGGATGTAAACTGGCAATTCTGAGAAATAAGTCAGAATTACGAGGTGTAAACTGCCAATTCTGAGAAATAAGTCCGAATTACGGGATGTAAACTGCCAATTCTGAGAAATGAAGTCAGAATTACGAGGTGTAAAATGGCTATTCTGAGAAATAAGTCCGAATTACGGGATGTAAACTGCCAATTCTGAGAAATAAAGTCAGAATTACGAGGTGTAAAATGGCAATTCTGAGAAATAAGTCAGAATTAGGGGATGTAAACTGGCAATTCTAAGAAATAAAGTCAGAATTACGGGATGTAAACTGGCAATTCTGAGAAATAAGTCAGAATTACGAAGTGTAAACTGGCAATTCTGAGAAATAAGTCAGAATTACGGGATGCAAACTGCCAATTCTGAGAAATAAGTCAGAATTACGAGGTGTAAACTGGCAATTCTGAGAAATAAAGACAGAATTACGAGGTGTAAACTGGCAATTCTGAGAAATAAGTCAAAATTACGGGATGTAAACTGCCAATTGTGAGAAATAAGTCAGAATTACGGGATGTAAACTGCCAATTCTGAGAAATAAAGTCAGAATTACGAGGTGTAAACTGCCAATTGTGAGAAATAAGTCAGAATTACGGGATGTAAACTGCCAATTCTGAGAAATAAAGTCAGAATTACGAGGTGTAAACTGGCAATTCTGAGAAATAAGTCAGAATTACGGGATGTAAACTGCCAATTGTGAGAAATAAGTCAGAATTACGGGATGTAAACTGCCAATTCTGAGAAATAAAGACAGAATTACGAGGTGTAAACTGGCAATTCTGAGAAATAAGTCAAAATTACGGGATGTAAACTGCCAATTGTGAGAAATAAGTCAGAATTACGGGATGTAAACTGCCAATTCTGAGAAATAAAGTCAGAATTACGAGGTGTAAACTGCCAATTGTGAGAAATAAGTCAGAATTACGGGATGTAAACTGCCAATTCTGAGAAATAAGTCAGAATTACGAGGTGTAAACTGCCAATTCTGAGAAATAAGTCAGAATTACGGGATGTAAACTGCCAATTCTGAGAAATAAAGTCAGAATTACGAGGTGTAAACTGCCAATTCTGAGAAATAAGTCACAATTACGGGATGTAAACTGGCAATTCTGAGAAATAAGTAAGAATTACGAGGTGCAAACTGGCAATTCTGAGAAATAAGTCAGAATTACGGGATGTAAACTGCCAATTCTGAGAAATAAAGTCAGAATTACGGGATGTAAACTGGCAATTCTGAGAAATAAAGTCAGAATTACGGGATGTAAACTGCCAATTCTGAGAAATAAAGTCAGAATTACGAGGTGTAAACTGGCAATTCTGAGAAATAAGTCAGAATTACGGGATGTAAACTGCCAATTCTGAGAAATAAAGTCAGAATTACGGGATGTAAACTGCCAATTCTGAGAAATAAAGTCAGAATTACGAGGTGTAAACTGGCAATTCTGAGAAATAAGTCAGAATTACGGGATGTAAACTGCCAATTCTGAGAAATAAAGTCAGAAATACGAGATCTGTTTGTGCAGGTTTTCAAGAATGCGGTTGTGAGTCCTGAAAATGTTTGGGTGTAAGTTTGGTAATAGAAGGAGGCTGTCACTACCATACGTAACTGATCTGTCTGTGAACGTAACCGTATTAAAGACTCAAATACAGAACTGACAACTGCATTCTGCTGCTGTGTGAACGGGGCCAAAAGAAGAACAGAACAAGTGAACAAAAAAAGAAAGAACAAGTGAGAGAAAACAGAAAAAAGGAAACGAAACAGAAAGAAAAACTGAAAGAATAAATATAAAGACATAAATATAAAGAATGAACGAAAGAGAAAAAGCAAGCCAATGAAAAAATGAACAGAATAAAACTAACAAAAAAGAGGGAATGATCAAATGAAAGAATGAATGAACAAATAAAGGAAAACCAAATTAAACAAATCATAGAATGAACCAGCAAAAAAAGTGAACAAAATTTAACAAAAAAAACTACAGAATGAAAGAGGAAAAGACAGTATAAGCGAGTAAAAGAAAGCACAAACAAACAAAAAAACATTGAAAAGAAAAAAAATTATGGAAAGAGACTGATCGGACAAATGGAACAAAGAACGTGCAAAGAAAAAATGAATGGACAGAAAAAAAAGAATGAGAACAAAAACAGAATAAACGAGTGAAAAAAAAGCGAAAAATGTATTGATTGAAAGAGCATGAATAAAAAAGGGAAAAATCATCGGGTGAATGGAAGAAGGAATAGTGCGAGCGAATAAATAAACAAATGGAATGAATGAAAAAAACAGAACAAAAGAAAAGAAAGGGCAAACAAAAAAAGAACAAAAGAAAGAAAGAACTAACAAAAGAAAGGAAGACCAATCGGACCACTGCAACAAAGCACTCGAACGAATGAATCAATGCGAAAAAAGAATGAACAAGTGAAAAAGAATGAAAGAAGAACAGAACTAGAGGGTGAAAGAAAGAAAGCCAACAAAAAACAAAATGAATGAAAGCACAAAGGAAAGACAGAATTACCGAGCAAATGGAAGAACGAGCACTTGCAAGCAAAAATAAACGAACGGAAAAACAAAAGAAAGAAAAAGAAGCAGACACAGAGCGCACTGCATCAGAACTCGTCTGCTTCAGTCAGTGTTTGCACACTTACAGCTACATCATCACTTTGTGTATGAATATTATACATTTAAATCGCCCACCATTAAACATGCATCACCAGAAGTGCATTTATATGCTAATGCGGACTGAATATTCGACTGAAAAGAAAAGGTTAACCTCTAAAAAAAAAGTGTTCATAACTTTTCCAATGATGTTACAGGGGCTTGAGAACACATTCTTCTAGGCCTTTTCCTGCACTGTGTGTGAACATGACTGCGTGATCTAGAAATTAATAATACATATCCACACTGCCCACACAGTGCACATAACCGGACACACCCACAGGAACCCGTGACACATACAGCTTTGGGGAAAGACGGATACAGAACATTTGTGCATGGTGTTTATGCCTGGGAGGAGCACGTGTGTGTTCACCGTCCTTCCCATCACGGCTGTGCTGGATACACACTTTCAAAGGAATAATACACCCGGAAAGGGAAAATTCTCTCACCGTCATGTTGTTCTGAAAAATAAGAGTTTCATTTTTCCGTGGAACAGAAAAAGAGAATTGTTGAAGAATGCACTTGTCACTCTTTTCCATATGGGAAAAAAAAGAGAGATAAATAAAGCACCATAAAAGCGGTCCATGTACACCGTGCGCTTTATTCTAAGCCTTCCAAAGGAAAAAAATAGCGCTGTTGATGAACTCACAAAAATGTATGTTGGAAAATATTGTTCTCCTATTCTAACATGAGGCCTATCATGGAGTCAATGACAAATAAGAGTGTCCTAAATAAATCAAGGAAAATGTTCAAAAATGTCGTTTAAACAGTGACAGGTTCGAAATGTGCTCTTGATGTTCATGTTGGTTTATATAGTTTTGAAAAAACAAACAATAAATTTTTTTTTTTTACCATTTTTTAAACAAAGATTTATATTTAATTACTCTACACATTTGTACAAAAGAACATTTTACTTACACCTTGAATATGTGAGTGTACACATCTTTTAAGTTTCTTTTTTTTTTTAAGGTAAAAAGAATTTCAATTACAAACGTCATATATAACGTCATTGATTCATAAATATTACATTGGGGAGTCACACCACATTACATTTAATAATCTTTTTAACCTTGACTTGTCATAAAAAGTCAAATTATCTGCTGTTTTAAGAGGCACATTTGACAAGTGTTATTTTAATATTATTTATATCTATTAATATATTTATTTAGATTTTATTTTTAATTTCAACTTTTAGTAATTATAAAAATTGGCTATTTTTATTATGCTTTTATTAAATACCCTTTAATTACTTTAAATACTATTTAAGCTTCATTTATTTTGATTTCATTTTTAGTTTTAGCTCAGTTTTAGGTTATTTATTTCAGTTAGTTGCCAAGGCAGAATTTCTAACTGCAGTTTAGGTTTTTCATCTAAAATTTATATTTATTTGATTTCAGCCTAATTTCAATTAACAAAAATGTGTATAATAGTTTTAGTTAACAATAATACCTGCTTGACACACCAACATGAGGGTCTGCAGGTGTCTCTCGATATCATTCCCCCCCCCCCATGTTTCTGAA